CAATTAACATCCTACAGTTTTAGTATTAGGAGGAAGATTAGTCAATATCCAATAGTTATTATCAGGAATGGATTTGATTTCATCATCCATAGACTTTTTCCATAAATCGATATCGGGTAGGGACAGGCTTCACTAAATCCTTTTCAATCCTTCGTCATTTACTCCTTCTCAATTCACTTGGTTGAACTATTACTTTTCTATTAGTATTATCTCTACTAACTATATCATGAGAATTTTCTTCAGTATTTTCAGAGATATCACATTTGTCAAACTCAATCATTACGTCTTTCTCTAATTCATGTCTATTTGCATCTTCAATAGTCAAGTGTTCAAAATAAATGGCATGATTAGATTCAAAAATACTATTAGTACTCAAGTTTCCAAATCTAGATGCTTTACTAGGCATACCATAACCAACAAATATAGATTTCGTGACTTTATTTCCTAACTTAGGTCTCTTTTGTGTTGCATCTAACACATAGGCTATATAACCCCAAATCTTAAAATAATTAATGTTTGACCTTCGATTTTTTCATAACTCATAAGGAGTTTTATCTTGATCCTTGTGCAAGATTCTATTGGTTATATGATAAGAAGTATATAAGGTTTCACTCCGAAAACTAGTAGACAAATTAGATTGTAATAGCATAGCACTAACCATTTCTAATAAAGTCATATTTTTCTATTTGGCCACACTATTTTTAGGGGGAGAATTAGGGGCTGACTCTTCTCTAACTATTTCATATATTTCACAAAATTTAATGTACTCATTTAGGTGATATTCACCACCACTATCGGATATAATCCTTTGAATTCTTTTCCTAAGACTGTTTTCAACTTCTTCTTTGAATATTTTAAACTTTTCAAAAGCCTTATCTTTTGTTTTCATCAAATACACATAAGTATACTTAGAATAGTCGTCAATGAAAGCTACAAAATATCTTTTTCCTCCTCTAGTCAAAAGATCTTTATTATCACATATGTCGGTATGAATTAATTCTAACAACTTTGTAGATCTAGAGACAAATTTAAATGAATGCTTAACAATCTTTGCTTGAGCACAACATTCACAATTTTGAGTAGTTAGAATACGACTATTAGTAGGCACAAAATTATTTGAAAATCATGCGATTCATAGTAGTACTACCAATGTGTCCTAATCTATAATGTCAAACATCATTATCATGTGAATCAATAATATAAGCAAAAATATTAACTTCTTTATTTATACTAAGCAAATACATATTGTCTTTGACATAACCTTTCCCAACAAATGATCCTTTCTTTGAAATGATCACTTTTTGGGAATCAAATATAACGCTAAAACCATGATCATCAAGCTTCTTAAAGGAGATAAAACTCTTTCTCAATCTCGGAATGTGATGAACATTCTTTGAGTAAGCACTTTCCCGAAAGTAAGAGGAAGTTGTACGATTTCTTTTTCCATGATAGCACTTGTAGAAGAGTTCACCATAAACACAGCTTTCTCGCCATTAATACCCTCATGAGTCTTGAAGACACTCTTGTGAGGAGTCACATGAAAGGTTGCACCTAAATCAACCCACTAACCTTCATCATTACTTATCATAAGAATCTTGGTAAACATGACTACCATGTCTTCGCTGTTTTTCACTAAATTGACTTCCTTCTTTTTGTAGCCTTTTCGGTGACGATATTCTTTAGCAAAATGTCCCAATTTGCCAAATACAAAGCAAGGACATTTCTTCTTCTCATTAGGAAACTCCTTTTTATTGAAATTTCCTCTTTTTCTCTTTGAGTTGGAAAAGTTCTTCTTCCCATTATGATATTTGTTGACTGGTTTAGTAGAGTTTGTAACCGTCCTTAAACATTATATACTTTTTCGGTCTTTCATTGAATTTCAACTTTTTCTTTCAACCTTTTTTTATTCTCAATCTGAATGTGTTGAATTAGTTCATCCAAATTCAAAGACTTCTTTTTATTTTTTAAAACCCTTTTGTAATCCTTCCACGAAGATGATAGTTTACAAATAATTGTAGAAACTTGAAAAGACTCGAAAATGGCTCCCCGGCATCAGCACATTCAGTTACAATCTCATTGAGAGCATTCATTTGTTCTATGACAGATTTTGAATCATCCATTTTAAAATTAACATACTTGTTTATAAGAAAATACCTATTACCGGTATCTTTATTCACATACCTTTGTTGTATCGCATACCATAGTTCCCAAGCCGTATGATATTTCTGAAACACATTGAACAAAACATTTTTCATTGCATTAAGAATGGTGAAACGGAAAATATAGTCATCCTCAATCCATTTCTTTTATTTCTTGGTTTGTTCGTTGTTGGAGGATCCTTGATTGTTTGAAGTTCCATCATTTTTAGAAACTGCATCATTTGAAGATTGCCCATTGGATGTTTCTCCTTGAGGATATGGCACGGACAACACATAGACAACCTTTGCAATGGTTATTTGATAAAAGAAATTCATATTCCAAGGCTTGTAATTGAACCCATTGAACCTTTTAAACCTTTCCACTTCATGAAAATGAGATTTTACCACCACAGAATCCATTATAGAAAGATTACTATCTCAAAATTGTTGTAGAATACGGTGTGGTAAAACAATTTCAAGTAGTAGAAAAACAAAGAATCAAAATCGAAAAAGATAGATTGCTAGACAAGGTGCGACACTCGTTATCTTCAAAATAGTAATTTCTCCACTTATAATGTAAATGGTCCTTTGAAAATTCTACCCTCAGGATACAATGCCTAACTTTAAGATTATCAAAAAGTGCACTTCTTAGTAATCTTGAAATCAAAACTTAACCCGAAGAGAAAATCAGAAAATATAGAAGCTTTGAATCAATAAGAAAAAGAAGGATTAAATTGTTGATAATTTGTTCTTGCATTTGAACCCTATCTCTAGTGTTCTATGCATCTCTTAATGAATGAGTGTAACCCTTGAAAATCATGGTAGAAGACACCCCTTGAAAGTTCTGTAATAATATAGTCGTTAGATACTAATTTCAAACAGAATACCTGTTACATTCGAACAATATTTCTATGTTCGAACATACTCAACTCTTAGTATCTTGATTTTGAGATTTCTGCCAAAGTACTGGAAGCAAGTCACGTTCGAACATGGGTTGCGTTTGAACAAGCCAAAGTCCTAGTATCTCACTTTTTTGTCAGAAATTCAGACTCTGAGAAAGTATTTGGAGCCAAGCATGTTCGAACGTGGGTTGCATTCGAACTTCGCCTCCCTCATTTTACTTCTTCTTCTTATCTATACACACACACACACACACACACACACACACACACACACACACACACATATATTATATACATATATAAAATTAAAACTTGAAGTTCTCATTATGTATGCTTTTTTTTTTAAGAGAATTCCTTGAAATCTTGAGTGGAGGATGAAGTTCTTCCTCTATTTATAGATGAAGGTGAATCCATGAAGAACCTCCAAGAATCAATGTGCGATTCATATATTTGCCCTCCAACTCATATATTCAAAATATTTTGGAGAGAAGTAAAAAATTTCATTTTTTCACCAATCTCAATTTAGAAAGTACTATTGTATTTTATGTATATTATATATATCTTCTTACATATACATATATTTAATCTTTATTACAATTCATGCAAATAATATTTTATTAATCAATATATTACTATTAATAAATAATTATATATATATATACAACATATGAGGGGCAAAATCTGAGGTAATCCAAACGTAAGACTATTGAATTAGCTAAGGTCTATGGAGACTCTACGTCAAGAACTGGAATGATAAGCTCCTCTAAAATTAAGGATGGAGAGTTTGGCAAGTGAAGTATAAATGACATGATACTGCATAAAAAATCTCAGGTTAAATGTCACGTTATTTAAACTCGATTTCAAAATTTAGTCAGCAGTATTACTGAAAATCTAATACATTGCTATAGTACAATAATTGTGGTTACAAAGAAACGTATATTTAATTGTGCTAGTACTATTATTAAAGGAACAGAAATCAACATCATATGGCCCATGCATGTCAACTCAAAAAGCTAATGATGTAACCTTCATCTTCGTCCACTCTATCTCTTACTATTCCTCTAACCTTCACTAACAGTCTGCCCTATTTAGCGAACAAAAAGTTAATCAACCTTTACTGATTTCTGTTTATGTCGATCGACAGAGGGAAAGAATTAGCAGAGGGGTCATCAAGGTCCCCAAGTGATCAACCGGCAACCCCGAGCCGGTATGAATCGCAGAAGAGAAGAGATTGGAACACTTTTGGGCAGTACTTGAAGAACCAGAGGCCTCCAGTTCCACTTTCACAGTGCAATGGCAACCATGTTCTGGAGTTCCTTCGATATATGGATCAATTTGGAAAGACTAAAGTTCACTTGCAAGGATGCATCTTTTATGGACAGCCCGAACCGCCAGCTCCTTGCACTTGCCCTCTTAGACAAGCTTGGGGCAGTCTTGATGCACTTATCGGAAGGCTTCGAGCTGCCTACGAAGAGAATGGAGGCTCACAGGAGACAAACCCCTTTGCTAGCGGTTCAATTCGTGTCTATCTGAGGGAAGTCAAGGACTGTCAAGCTAAGGCAAGGGGTATTCCATACAAGAAGAAGAAGAAGGCGGCAAGCCAAAGCAATGAAGATGAGGAACCACATTCTACAATGCAATTCTGTTGATACTTAGAGCTGCTTTGGGAAAATGGTAATATTTGCTCATATTTCTTTTGTTGGGTAGCTTTACTTTTAACGTGGTTGGCCCTGGCATTATTACATCAGTAGAGAGAATCAATTGTATGCAATGTTACTATACTATATTTTGAATCTGGAAGAAAATTTGATGAACCCCAACTGATGAAAGAAGACTAAACACTGCAGAAAACTGCCTATTTTCTTGGAGAAATGAACTATTGAATTTCAATGGGAATAGATCAATCTCTTTCCCTTAATAATGCTAAACCCTAGATGAAAACAGTGCACACCAATAATAATAAATCCGTCGATATATTATGATGTTCCGTGACTTAATCCAAGCATCTATAAGCTTCAAATACATAAAAAAGCAATGATGAATTTGTAGTCTTTAGCATCTTCCAACCTGAAAAATGGTCTTTATCTCTCCCTCTCTCGATATATATTTCTCCCTCTCTCTCTCCCCCATCCACACACACACACACATACACATCAGCATACTGCATACCTACTTTAGTACGTCTCAGTTGTGTGAATTTTTAGCTAGTTTGGGCCATTTCGGGATTCTGAAGATTTTCTGCCCCCACATTTAAATATCTCAGGCAGCAAACACTTCTGCTTCTTAATATCTCTTCTTGCACCAGAAATGCTATAAATTAAGGTTCCTTTCCATGTATAACTAACAAGTAAATAATTTAAGTCCATGCAATGCTTCTTTTGTATGGCCTTTCAGACTAAGTTTTCATCGAACAATTAATATCATCCATTCAAATCTTCCAAATTTACGAGGAACCAAATTGCTGATTAAATAATCAGATTTCATATTGCTTGAGATATTTGCAGGGGGCCCTTTGCAAATCTGCACCTCAATATGTCATTGTTCTTTATATCTTTAGTAGATTGCTCGTTGTCTGCATTTGATTTTGTGGGACATTAATTTTATTCCATTTTCTGCTTATGCTTTAATTGCTTTGTCAAAAATCTATTGGGGGCATGGCCTCGGAAATCTATTGGAGGGAGAGGGGGGGTGGGGGCGCGGTGTCAAACTTGCTTATTGTGATTTTAAAAAAAAAAAAATAGTATAACCTTCCATTGAATGAACTGCTTTGTTCTCCTTTTCAATGATTTTCTCAATTCATCTCTTTTTATCAGGAAAAGTTATTCAAAAATACCCTTAAATTAGGGGGGGGGGGGGGGGGGGAGGAAAAAAATAGAACCCCACTACGGGGGGGGTTTTTTCGTTGTGGGGGGAAAAAGGGGGGAA